TTTCAAAGTTTTGTAATACTTTGCAGTTAGTCCATCCGGCCCTGGGGATTTGCCCAATTTCATGTTCAGAATGGCTCCTTCCACTTCTTGATCAGATATAGTCGAATTTAATATTGATTTACTGTCTTGAGATATTTTTGTAATCCATTGTTTTCCAAAAATCGGTCAATGTCTAAATCTTTCTGAGTCTCCTGCGTGTATAGCTGTTTGAAATAGTTCTGAAAGCACTTCCGAATCTCTCCAGGATTCTGTATGTTCTTTCCTTCTACAACCAAGTTCGTAATTGTATTCAGCTTTTGTCTTTTCTTCATTTGCCAGGCCAGTAACTTCCCACATTTATTTGCCGATTCGAAGGTCTTTTGTTTCATCTGTTGAATCTTCCATTCTATCTCCTGATTCATCAATTTCATATACTGTACTTGGTATAGCTTTATTTCTTTTAAAATCTCCTGTGAGTTCGGTTTCGCTCTCAGTCTTTTTCTCCATCCTTTATTTTCTCCAAAAATTTTTCTCTCTTCTCATTTTGGTATCTTTTCCTAATTGCATTTTGTTGTATCAAAAATCCTCTCATCACCGCTTTACTAGCATCCCAAATCACTCTTTTTTCTGTCGTAGTGTTCAAATTTATTTCAAAATAATCTCTCAGATTTTTTTGAGCCTTTTTAACAATTTCCTCATTCCTAAATAAGGAGTCATTCATCCTCCATCTAAAGGCCCCAATTGGCGTTAATGTCATTTCAATCTTTACTGGATTGTGATCGGAGCAGATTTTCGGACAAATCACTGCTTTTTTAATTTTAGGAGCCAGTCCTCTAGTTATCCAGATTTGGTCTATTCTTGTCCATGTCATATTTGCTTCAGAGAAGAAGGTTCCTTCTCTTTCCAAGGGGTTCTTTGTTCGCCAAATATCCACAAGATCCATATTGTCAGTCATTTCAAAGAATGTCTTTGGTAGTCTTCCATCTTTTGTCACTGTTTGTCTTTGGGCCTTGTCCATATTTGTAGACACTACTCCATTCATATCTCCCATCAAAATAATATTGTAATCCAAATAGTCCAGAAGAGTTTCATGCAATTTCTTGAAGAATTCTGATTTTCCCTCATTTGGTGCATATACTCCTAATATCAAGAATTTCTGTCCTTGGAATTGAATTTCAATTGCTATATATCTTCCTTGATCATCTTTAAATATGAATTTTGGTGACAGGCTTTCCTTCGCATAAAGTACTACCCCTCTTTTTTAACATTGTCCGATGAAATAAATTCCTCTCCCAATCTTTTATTTATCAAAATTTTCCGATGCAGCCTTGTCACATGAGTCTCTTGTAAACAGATCAAGTCCAAATGTTCTTTTTTCAATGTATGAAATACTCTTCCCCTTTTAGCCGACGAATTTAGACCATTAATGTTCCAGCTTAAAATTTGTAGTGTCATTTTGTAGCTACTCTCCTTCTCCTCCAACAGCCCCAAGAAGATTGTCTATGTCTGTCGGTGGCGTTGGTTTCCCTTTTTTTTTCCTGGTTCTTGTCCGGTATCGCAATGTCTTTTCCCAATCCTTTCAGTAGATCTTCTTCATATGCACTCAGGAACTTGTTCTTTTCCTCCACTGATCTGATCTTGGTCTTTCTTCCCTTAAAGCTAAAGGATAGGCCTTGGGGAAATTCCCACCTGAAAAGAATTTTATTTTTTCTCAACAAGTCCACCAAATCTCCAAAATCCTTTCTCAAATCAAGAAGGTGTTTTGGTATATCTTTAAAAATTTCAACTTTTGATTGTATAATTGTCAAGGGTTTTTCGTAATGTAAACCCAAAATTTTGTCCCTTTCTTCCTTAGATCGAAGAGTAATCAAGCAGTCCCTTATTTTAATCTTTCTTCCTCCTTTCCCCAATCGAAAGGCTCTCACAATCTTAAAATCCTCTTGTTTCAATTCCGATTTCCAAAAGTCCAAAAATTCCTGTGTCAAAAAGTCTATCAAAGTACCTTTCTCCAGCTCAGGAACAGCTCTGATTCTGAGATTCGTTTGTTTGTCTCTGAGGTCTATCATAGATAGCGTTAGCTTGTGTTCTGCAATCTCTTTCTGTATATCTGGTACTTTCTCAGTTTCCAACTGCCCCAATTTAAACTCAACAGCAGCAGTTTTTTCCTGTATTGACTTTGAGTCTTGCAACAATTTCTGGATAGATTCCGTGTTGCTGTTTACTTTTTTTCTCCAAGTTGCCTAATGTTTCTGTATTTAGGTCAATTTTCCTGTTTGCAGTATCCACTTTCTGACAAGTCTCTTCCACCCTCCTGTTCGTCTCTCCCACTTTTGTAGAAAGCTGCTGTATTGAATCATTAATCTTAGAAAGAGCACTAGCTAGAAATTCCTCAGACATTCCACCAATCTTAGATTGTGTTGCCGATGTAGGCAGACCAGCAGATGATTGCCTTCTATGTGTCCAAGGTTTCCCTGATCTCAAGGTTGACTGGTCCTTAAACCCATCAGCCATAACAGAGTGAAGGTCAGGTTACTTTCCCACGTCCACTCTTCCTGTTTATACTTGGAAAATTCCTTTCCTTTCCTGCAGTTACAGAAAGTTCCACTAGATGGACACTGTTGCCACTTAACAAGTTACTGTCTTTTTAAAACGACAAGGGAAAAATACTCAGTAAGAGGGGAAAAAAAAAGAGTCCAAAGTAAAAGCTACAATATAACTTTTCAATCCTTTCCAGTCTTTTCTCAGTGAAACTGGCCACTCTGTATCTCCTTTGCAGCCAGCAGACTGCTTTAGCGATTTTGACAGCTTTGACAGCTGAGTGACAGATCACTCATTTAATCTTTCAATTTAAAGAGTCCTATAAAATCAAGAGTCTTTCCCTTAATTCTCTTAAGGGTAGATCCCTCCAAAGTCCTCAGGTTAGAAGATTACACTTATTTCAATTCAATTCTTCACGTTTAGCTCCAAATCTCTTTGCTTTGTTCTTTGTACAACGCAGTGAAGCCGACTTCCTGTTTAAGCTTCCACCGCGGTAGCCAATTCAGCCATTTTTTAAAGGCTTTAAACTTTTCCGCTTTTTTGCCCAAGTTCCAAATTAGTCCAAATTCTACTCTTTTTATCCAATTCCTCTACTCACGGTTAGTTTTTAAGTCCGAATTTCCCAGGAATAAGTCAGCGCTCTCCAGCAACGGCAACGCGGCTTCACTCAGCGGGAGCAGCGATCCGCTCGCAGCACCGCGCTTCTCTCCCCCGCTCCCGTCCGAAGCCTCCACCAGGCTTCTTTTCAGGTTGGGGGGGGCGCTTCAAGGTGCCCGCCGAGCCTCCACGTTCGCAGGCGTCCGCGCCTGCGATTTCTAAGGGTCCCCGCTTCGCCGGAGCGCACAGGACCCGATCTCCCGCCGAGCTACCCCCTCCGAACTTCAAAGGAGGTCAGCCATTGCTGCTGGCACCAACCGGA